TAGGAAAACATTAGATAGTGTACGAGGGCTGAGCAAAACGGTACCGGATATGCAGTACACGACAAGTGAGAGGTACAGATAACCGGGCAATGAAAACGCGAACCAATATCTCGTATCGAGAATAATGTTAAGTGATTGCAACTCACACAGAATCTAATATCACCAAACCTCAAAAGTCATATAAGGGTCTCTTTACTGGGATTGTTGTAAAGATGGAATTCAGTCGATACCATTGGGAGGCGATGATTTTCTACGACTACAAATGTGGTTTAAAGCAGAAGCAGTGTGTTGGTCGTTCGCGAGCTACCTTTGGTGGCGACGCACCCTCAAGAAGCAATGTCTTTGAGCGGTTAGCGCACTTCAAGCATAGTATGCGGTCGCCAGATGATGAAACATGATGTAGTTGACCTATGGGGACGAAAACAATTGCTGCCTGTGCAGGCGACGGTGAAAAAAGATGCGTGGATGACAGCAGCACATTTGGTTAAACTAATCGAGATCTCACCGGGATCAATCTGCACTATCCTACATGAGAAGCTTGGCCTCCGCATTGTTTGCGCGCGCTGTTTATCCTATCAGCTCAGTGAGGAACAGAAAGCAGTTTGGGTGAATCGGTATCGCACCGTGCATACCAGGTTTGATGGTGGATGTTCCAAGGTAATGAGACTTGGGTGTTCAGTTTTGATCAGATAACAGTGAACAATCGGCTCAGTGGACGCTGGTTGATGAGGTTTCGCCTCAGAAATTGCGACGCGAGCGCAGTGTGGCAAAGCAGACGGGGGCTGTTTTGATGACCAAAAGCTGTCAGGTGGTCAATGCACCGTTTGAAAAACAATGTACACCCACCGGAGACTGGTAGACCACCCGCTGTGTGCCGAAAGTGCTGGAAGCCGTTGTCAGGCCTTGCGCAATAACTGGAGTTCGAGGAGCTTGTTGCACCATGAGAATTCACTGACATTTCCGATGTCCTCAGCGCTTTTCTGGTTAGAAAACTCATCCGAGAGGTGGGCCACCCACTCTTCAGACCATAAATTGTTCCGTGTGACTGTTTTTTTTGTGTGTGAGTGGAATCCGATACGAGTCACCAATATCAAAAGTGGATGATTTTATTGAACTGGTCTATGAGATCCCCGCTTCAGCATGACTGAGCCGTTTCATCAAATGAGTTGAGCACATGGAACTGTGCATGAACTCTAGTGAAGGATACTTCGCGAAAATGATATGCTTATTTTTATGTAACAAACAAAACTTTTTCTGCAATCAGAAACGTTTTGCTCAGCCCTCTAATGATGCATGCCAAACCAAAATCCTAGAAAACAGGTCTGTCAGTGTAGACTGTGAAAACCAAAATTAACCCTTTTTGGCACAAATTGTGTCGGTAAATATTCTTTAGTTTGAAGGAGTCGGACTACGTTAGTTGGGCCAAATCATTCTCTCAAATTTTGACAGCAATGGAATTATCTGGTGAAGCAGCTCTGACAGCCTGATTGTAATTAAGGTAAACTTCTTTCTGTCCAGGAATTTAACGGTACAATTCGATTGTAAGCTTTTCAGAATATGAGGAATATTCCCACAACACGTGGACAAATTGCTGACCCCGTTTTCGCAGTTCACCCCAGCTCTATGATAAGCGATTGCCTGAGAAAGAAAATACCAGTTGAAACATTCGAAGTGTACGACTTCTGATCGAAAGCAGTCATGACTTTGCAAATACGACTCTTCTAAACAACCGTGTTCCCGTTTGTTATATACTTGCAAGCCATAGGAGTATTAGGGAGATCACTAATTGATCATATCCTTTTACTTTATGCCTAGCTATTCCATTTACCCTTGTGAAACCTTGTTCATTTCATGCAAGAAAAGCGTTAATTTATTGCGCTAGATATTGCATGCAACAGTTCAACCGGTTATCCAGTTCTCGTTGTGTTCAAATAGGCCCAGATGATAGATAGGATAGATAGAGAAACTACCGATTAAACATGGCTAGAATGAGGTTCTTGTACATCAACGAATTGTTCTCCTGACTCCTCACTCGGTGAGCCAAGTCTCATTTGGGGAAGGAAAAACCATTGGTTAACTCATTGAGTTTACAAATAAATAATCCGCATGGGATTCGGGCAATGAAAAATGATTGGGTGTTTTTCACTCTGCTCAAATCACCGATTCGGTGACGAAATAGGAGCTGACAAATTCTTAAAAATCAGTTCTCGAATCTCTAGTGAACTGAATTCAATCTCGCTGGTTAGCCGAGCATAGCAAACGTTTTATTGTCGGACCAGATGAAATAGATGTCACATCCGCCGAGGATCGTACGTTTGTCAAACTCGATGAACAGGTAGAATTAAATTGCACTAGGAATTGATTTGTTTTGGCGCACAAATTGAACATAATCTTTTTTGTTCGATATTCTACACCCAAAAATGCAATGTCTGATATGTCGGAGGAGAGAAACTATTCACAGTAAAATCGTTGAAATGAACACCCTGGTACACAGTCACATATAGTTTATGATATACATGAACCATTCCCGGTGAGTAAGACGAGTGGCAAATGCAAAACGACTCGGTAAACTTGTATGTGCTAAAATGCAGTTTCAAGAAATGAAAGGGATGTTGGAAACGTCTTCCGTAAAATCAACTTATTTGGGATGAACCGAAGCGATCGGGGCTTTAGATAATATCCAACCGAACGTGGAAGAATGAGAGCGAATAATGGAACATTGTGTTAGAGTTTATTTTTTCTAAATTTCGGTTGCGACATACTTCTTACAGTATTTACTTAACTTTTTTCGATTCCCACTCTATCATCTATCGTGTTTACGTCGTCTGACTAGACATATAAATGGAATGCGCAAAATATCGTATACTGCCGATTGCAGTTCTCCTCAGGTGTTTTAGAAGGATCGAAACGACTGTACCGTTGTGATCACCCATAGTCTCCCCGAGCTTTGCACTTTCTCATCCTGACTGAATCTGGGATGCGATTTAGATNGATTTAGATCGCATCAAAGTATACTCCGCTTACAGGACAACAATGATTCATAGTGAGGGGTGATTCGGTTATTCAAGAAAGAAAGTATTTCTCTGTGTGTGATTACAGTATTTGAAATGAAAGTTGGGCATAAGGTTATTTTGTATTGTTTTCTTTGTTGCAAAAAGCAGTCGTTTTTTGTCGGTGATCAACTGAAACAATGTAACTTGTGCTGAAAACTTAATAAATCTGTTCACTGCATTGTCAAAACTGTAAAAAATTACAAAAGGTCCCTTTTAGTTCTTTTTTTATTCACGGAATATACAATTGTATAGTAAACCTTCAGGA